CCGCCACGGCTGCCGCGGGACTGAGCCTCGTTGACGGTGATGCTACGGCCGTCGAGTTCCTGACCGTTCATCCCATCGATCGCAGCTCTCATCGATTCCTCATCCTTAAAGGTCACGAATCCAAACCCCTTGGATCTCCCGGTCTCACGGTCGTTGATGATCTGATCCACAAAAGGTCATAAAAGCTCAATTCAGACGGATCTCGATTCGAGTAAACAAAAAAAATCCGGATCTCAAATCAAATTAACAAAATCGATCAATCTTCGGCCCAAAAGCAAGAAGATGAACGTACCGATTCGGAAGAGTAACAAATAGTAACACAGTAACATAGAGAGAATCACAAAGTAACACAAAACAGAGTGCACGAATCTCGGATTCGGGTCAGATTATCGGATCCGGGGACCGATCTCTGTGTCTAACGGACCTTGGAGTCGAGGACCTCTCCAAACTGACTGAAGGCCCTCTCTAGGGAATGATCGTCGGTGGCCCAAGCAAGGCCTCCGACGAAGCACCTGTACTCGACCTCTGAGGAACCCATTTTTCGAAGAAAAAGACCCTACAAATATTTTCCGGAGAACACGAGGAAGATGAAGTAGAAGACAAAGCGGAGAAGACGATGTGAAATGACCAGGTGGGAGGTCAGAGAAGGCTCACTATATAGCAGTATGGAGGGAGAATAAACCATGGTTAAGTTTGTTTCTTTAGGGCTGACGCGGTAGCATCCGTGTTTGGCTACGGCGACAAAGATTTCCCCGCTTTAGCCTCTCCGGCCAAGTTGGAGCACAAAAAACGGAATATCCTTAAATCGGTTACCAAACTTAGATCCAATGCCCATAAGGCGTGGAGTAATCTCCTACACATGCGCGGGATTCTACAAGGCTGGTTCCAGCAATTTCAACTGTTGGATTACTTCCACGTCACCAAACTGATGTTTTGGATAAAATAGTGTCAATCTAACGGTTGAAATTGCGTGAACTTCCAAAAGATGTCGACATTGCAGAGATAAGCATGGGAAAGACAGCGAGATATTTTGTTCTAAAAGACGTAATTAACCTTGGAGTTGGAGAGAATTATCCTTTAGGGAGAAGCCTTCTCTTTGTCCTTAATGGACATTTCGGTTCGAGAGGCTAATTTAGTCAATGGATCCGATTCTTGTTTCTTTTTTCTTTTTCACCAATGGATCCGATTCGTGGGTCCCTTTCACAGTCTTAACGAGTAATATACAAAATTATTTGCAAGATCATGCCTAAGTCAAAAGGCTGCATTTAGGGTTTCGAGTATATTATAAAGAAATAATGAAAGCTCCTTACGACCCGTTTATGATATTTTCTATATTTTAAAATAAAATAAAAGAGATAATGTTAATATTTATTCATTTCATTTAAAATAATTAAGAGTATGTTTTGTTATCTAGATGTTCGTTCTCAATTAAATAAAAAATTCATTTAAAACTAACATTAAAAGCATTAAAGTGATAACAATCCGTAAGTATGTATATAATAATTCATTTTCTTAATTCTATGCCATAATTTTCTAATTGTTTTTATACGTATGATTATGCATATGCACACAAAACTATTTTACAAAAACAATCTTAGTTGTAGACACAGAAACATCATTTAATTGATATTATTTAACAATAATTTATCTGACATTTTACCTCTTTTTTTAAACAATCGTATATTTGACATATAGATAAATGCCTATTAAGACACTTAACATTATTTAACACAAAACTTGGGAAAATAGCTCCTATATATATATATATAATAGAAACGTTGGACGGCCCAATAAGAAGAACAAGGCCCAATATGTATGTTAACGTATCAAAGGTCCATTTGGAAGCCCATTTTGAAATATAATGATTCATGTTGTTCGTTGAATAAAATTAAGGATTTGGATCGTATTGTAATAATATTAAAATTATAATATAAAGTAATAATATTAAACCGAGATAGTTGTGCAAGTGTCCCATGAGACTGTTGAGCCCACCCATTCACTTGTCCACGTGGTTTGAATTTGCCAAAAAAATGTCATTATACCATTCAAAACTATATAATAAATAAATAAAAGGATGTGTTCTGTCATCTGTGTATGTAATCATCAACGAAGGTTCTCAGAGTTGTTTGGTCAAAAGCCACGCACGAACTCTTTTTATTTTATATAAATATTGGATTATTTCGCAACTTGACAAAGTTTCGGTTTGGACGAACATATTATATTTTTAAAATAGTAATATTAAATAATATTTAAAATATTTATATTTTTTAAAATTTAATATTTTATTAACTTGTAAAAAATTGATATTGAAAATGAAAAAAATCATAATTTGATGCATTTATAATTTTAAAAATATATGTATAGAAGAAAATATTTCACGATATTGATATTTTTAAATAAGTATAAATATTTAGAAAATCGCCAATTAGGTAATTAAGAGGGAAATTTAGTTATATACTGTCATAGTTATTTAGTTCATATTTAAATACTCTTAACCTTTCACAATAAAATCAAACAAAACGGATTAACAATATTAAAATGTATATATATTATCATTTTTCCGGTCCACTTGGTTGAACCAATATCATATATTAGTGCGAAAAAAGAATATACCAAATTAAAAAAATAATGCAAGAAAAATATATTCCAATAAGAAAATATATTAGTCATGAAAAGATTATATCTATTGAATGCATTTGCACAATAGATCGGATATTTTAATTCACGTTCTAAAATTAAATTTTAATATATAGTTTATTTTATGCCTATCAAAATATAGACACATTGAAAAAATAAACATTGAAATAAATGAAAAAGGAAACCCGAAAACTACAATTTGTAATTCTTTTAGGGTTAACAAAAACACTGAAGACTTACATGTTATAATCATGCTTTATCATTAATTGAAGGAAGTGTAATTAAAATCAAAATGAGATTAATCCACGGTAATAAGATGTGGCATTTATATAAATATAAATTGCCAGACACATGTTATATGGTGGGTCCATTTTATAACATACTTTATAACCCACTTTGATTGGATGTTACAGTCAGGCTGGCCACTATGCCTTCCATTATCTCTTATAGAAAATCAGAATATAATAAAGTTTGAAAAATAAAAAAGTTTTTAAATTGAAATGATGGCAGAGTCATTTCTTTATGTCCCCTAGTTAGAAAATAAAAATACTTGCTTATTTTTTTCCTCTCAAAGGTGCATAATTATTTTTAAATTATAAAGTTAATAAAAAATTACATGAAAAGTCTCAATTCAATTGGAAAATGATAAATGTAGGTTGGATTCTTTATGAAGTATGAGCTTTCTTTTGAGTCAATTTTCGGTTGATTTATCTGTTCCGCGTGATTTGCCGACTATTGTGTAAAGTCAGAAGATTTACTGTTTGAGATGTCGTCTGACCTACATAATCGACCAGTGTCCGGTTTGAAGGATTTTTCGATGGATCTCCCACCGTTATAAAAAAAAAAATTACAATTAGTTTACCATAAACATTGGGTGTGAATGTAGACATTTAATCATTTATAGATATGTGTTTATGATGAAAAGGTTTGGTTTTTATGTAAAAGCAACAAAACAAAAAGGGAAAACGGAGCACACGAGTCCACACACACACATATATATACATATATTTTTGTGTATATATATGTATGCATATATTTATAATACCAACCCAAAGTTCACTTCCTAACACCTAACACTGTCTTTAAGCTGAAATAATTTGAGAATGACCTTACAACCAACGCAAGTGGAGGGCGCAAACAAATTAGTACAAATAAATAAATAAATAAATAAATAGTAATCAAAATTTATGAATAATTGCCTCAATATCCTATTATTGTGAACCAAAACATCATTTAAATAGGTTTACCTAAAACAAATCATTTAAAAGGAATCTAAATGAAGTAAAGAATGATTAGTCCTCGCAACATGGCCAAGTGCTTGCCTGTGCCCATCTACTACTACTACTAATAATAATAATAATAATAATAATAATAATAATAATAATAATAATAATGTTTTTCTCCAAATGCCCGATAACTTTTAATTTTTTTTTATAAAATAATTAATTTTAGTTTACAAGTAATAAAATAAAAGAATGAAGTTCTATATATTTCATAAGAGTGGAAATAAAACTATTCCATCCACGTCTTTAAAAAACTATTAGGATATATATATATATATATCTAGCATATATACATGTTGATTTTTTTTCATATTTATAATGAATGTATTCCGTGGATATATATATATAATAAAAAAATCAATTCGATTTCTTTTTCCCCAAAATAGAATGAATTTGAATGTTAAATCTGGATACTAAATCAGTTTATGAGTATCCTAAAAAAAGTGTGTTTTCACAAATCCAAACCTACCATTTTAATTTTAATTTTCACCTAATCCAAACCTAATTTAGGAAACTTATCATTAAATTTGTTAGGGCCCATCTCAAATTAATTGACGTAATTATTATACTCTAAGAAATTTATTCGACTGAGGAATGGGGACGAATTTGTTTTAAATAGAATCCCGTCACGTGCCAAGATATATATGGAAGTAGATAAATTATTTTTCGAGCCCAATGCTAAATATTTTCCCAAATTAAATATTTAATTTTATTTAGATATTTTCTCCAATCGGCTAATAAATAAAATAGACAGTAAATCAAATATGAAATTTTAATTATGAATTGATAATAACCTTTGGGCTTACCGTGTAATACCCGCATAAACTATCCTTTGTCGTTTACACACAACCAAATAATCCTCTTCAATTCAAGTCAACCCATGCAGATTTTGTTATCGTTTTGTTCATGTTTGATGTTACTTCTCAACTTTACAATATGTATGTATGTATGTATGCATGCATATACGTATGTATGTATGCATGTATGTATGTATGTATGTATGTATGTATGTATGTATGTATGTATGTATGTATGTAAGATTTAGTAGAAAATCCGAAACTATTACTGTGGTGATATTTGCCATAATATATATATATATTCACATTAAAATTATTAGTGAAAAAACAAACATGCATCATTTTTTCTTTATCAAACTTGCCTAGTTTGAGGAAAAAATCTGAATTTTACAAAATATATTGTCTATTTTATTTGTAGTGATTTATTTTTCTAAATCAGTCGTAAATATTCTAATTTTCTAGATATGCAACAAGATAAAGAGAGAAAATTGCCTCTATTTATAACATTAAGAAATATTAAAATGAATTTGAAATAATTAATAGGATTAGTATTAGGGGCCTGTAAAATGGAATGACCAATGCAAAGCATCAAGTCATTAACTATGGATACGGAAATTAAAGAAAAAAGGGAAAGACGGAAATAAAAAATTTTTAAAAAATGAAAAAAAGGGAACTTTACAAAAAACTTTTTATGGGAATAGTAATTGTGGCAACAGCTGAGCTGGCTGGGGCGCGATAACCGGAAAGTCAAACAAACTAAAACGACGCCGTAATTTCACTTCATTTGCCTTTTTTTTTTTGCGCTCTGGGCTTTTCTCGTCAACGGGAGAAGCTGAGGTTTTGGGGGAGAGAGAGGAAGAGAGAGAGAGAGAGGTGTGTTTAATGTATCTGAAGGTAAGAGCTGTTTTTTGATCCAGAAACAGAGGAAAAGTAGTTGAGTGTTCATCTTCCTCGTCTCCAGAGAACGAAAGGCGTGGCCTTTCGTACTGGGTTTTGGTTAAATCCTGAGAAATTCGTATTACTCTCAGGGATTTCGGGGAAATTTGCGTAATTCTTTAGGCGTTCGACGATGTGTAAGAGGATTGATGAAGAAAGATGAGGGTTTATGGGTCTCTGGAACGAGTTAGATAAGCAATGGTGGATCTGAGGAGTGTATTGTGTTTTGGGTTGTCGTCGTTGTTGTGTTTGGTGCTGTTGGAGTGTGGTGCGGTCGGCCAAACCCAGGCCGAGTTGCTGTCCAAATTCAGCGAGCGAGTCGCTTTGCTCAGTCTCAGATCCTCGCTAGGGTTGAAGAGCAAGGATTGGCCCATAAAGGGTGATCCTTGTACCGTGTGGAGAGGGATAAAGTGCGATAATGGAAGTGTTGTTGGGATCGACATTTCTGGTTTCAAGAGGACAAGAATCGGGAAGCAGTACCCACAATTTGCCGTAGATCCTCTCGTTAATCTGACCCGTTTGGTCTATTTTAACGCCTCGAGGTTGTCCCTCCCAGGGACCATTCCTGAGTGGTTTGGTCTAAGGTTGCTGTCATTGCAGGTGTTGGATCTTAGTTCTTGTTCTGTTAAAGGTGTTATTCCTGTCACTCTTGGTAACCTCACTGGTTTGAGGACTTTGAATCTGTCTGATAACCGCCTCACTGGTGCAGTTCCTAGCAGTTTGGGGCAGTTGTCGAATCTTTCAGAGCTTGATCTTTCAGGGAATTCCCTTACCGGACCTCTTCCCCTACTGTTTGGTTCTCTGCAGAATCTATTACATCTCGACGTTTCCTCCAATTATTTTACAGGGCCGATTCCCCCGGAAGTAGGAATGCTTTCGAGGCTTGGCTATTTAAACATTTCCAACAACAGTTTCTCGAATTCGATTCCTCCACAGCTCGGGAATCTCAGCAATCTTGTGGAGCTTGATCTCAGTTTCAATGCATTGTCTGGTCCAGTGCCTGAAGATTTGAGAAGAATGAGGAATTTGCAGAAAATGGTGATTAGTGATAACCTTTTAAGTGGGTCTTTACCAGCCAATTTGTTCGATGCTGGGAGCCGATTGCAAGCTTTAGTTTTGAGGATCAATGCTTTCACTGGTAGTCTACCCGACAACTATTGGTCATTGCCCGAATTGCGGGTTCTTGATATCTCTAGGAACAATTTCACAGGTTTGCTGCCGAATTCTAGTCCAGGTCCAAATCTTCCAGATGCAAAGCTCGATATATCTCAGAACACGTTTTACGGAGGCCTCACGCCCATTCTTAGAAGGTTCCGAACCATGGACCTCTCTGGGAACTATTTCGAAGGTAGGGTTCCAGATTATGTGTTTGATACAAATGCTTCCCTTATCGGTAACTGCCTTCAAAACGAGAAGGCACAAAAGGCATCAGAAGAATGTGCATCTTTCTATAGGGCTAAAGGCTTAGCCTTTGATGATTTTGGTCGCCCTAATTCTACAGTATTTCCTGGGAAGCAATCTTCTTCGGGGTTAAGCCACAGAACAAAAGTTATTCTGGCTGCAGTGGCTGGAGGAGTTGGTCTTATCCTTATTTTCTTGGTCTTGCTGATTCTTGTAGCTATATGCATACGTAAAAGAGGTGGTCCGGCCCAAAGAGGAAACGGGGTCAGGCCTAGTCCTGCCGCCGAGGAAGCTCCACAACCTCACGGAGGAGGAGGAGCAGGAGCAGGAGGAGCAACGGCAAGGGCACTCGACCTGTCCCATCTAGGAAATGCATTTACCTACGAGCAGCTTCTTCAGATCACAGAACAGTTCAAAGAAGCCAATCTTATAAAACACGGCCACTCGGGAGATTTGTTCCACGGGTTCCTGGAAAATGGAATACCTGTTGTGATCAAAAGGATCGATGTGAGTGAAAATAAGAACGAAGGGTATGTCTCAGAACTGGAGTTCTTTGGTAAGGTCGGGCATCATAGGCTGGTTCCTCTTCTGGGTCACTGCTTAGAGAATGAAAGCCAAAAGTTCTTGGTTTATAAGTATATGAGGAACGGGGATTTGGCCAGTTCCTTGTACAGAAAACCCGATAATGACGACGATGGATTGCAGTCTTTGGATTGGATAACGAGGTTGAAGATTGCCCTTGGAGCAGCCGAGGGACTTTCTTATTTGCATCATGAATGCTCACCTCCTCTTGTTCATCGGTAACTTTCCAAGAACCATTGTCTTCTTTTTACTTTCTCTTTTGCTGTCAGCTTCTTGTCAACAGGAATGAAGAACTTACATTTGATGAGAAATCAGAAATTTGATTACCCAATTCTTAGAATGATCATAGGTTATTTAATTCGATTTGGTTCCAAGTCATAAGGTTTTTATATTTCATGTTTTGTTTTATATATAAAAAAAGGGATGTACAAGCAAGTAGCATACTTCTCGACGACAAATTCGAGGTACGGCTCGGGAGTCTAAGCGAGGTCTGTCCGCAAGGCGATAGCCAGCAGCAGCAGAGCAGAATTTCTCGTTTTCTTCGGTTACCGCAGTAAGTTCTTACGACCCGATTCTTGATATTCCGCTCCGATATCTGTTTCTTGAATACGAGTAATCCCGTTAATCTCTCCGTCCTCTCTTTTCCCCGCTTCTGCAGATCATCTGATCCAAGCTCTTCAAGTACGACTCCGTAAACCTCCATTTCATTTATACATTACAGTTTGGCTCCCGGATCGAAACCTGACATTTGTTCCTTTTTTTTTCGGGTTTGGTTTCAGGTGCAGCGACTGGGACATGCCCTCACGACGTATACTGCTTTGGGAAGGTGTTACTCGAGCTAGTAACGGGGAAGCTCGGGATAAGCTCGGGAGAGAATGCAGAGACGAAGGAATACTTGGAAGAGACACTGCGTAACATAAGCACGAACGAGAAAGAAGGCATGAGCAAGATCTTGGACCCGTCGTTAATGGTGGACGAGGACTTGCTTGAAGAGGTATGGGCAATGGCGATAATAGCGAAGTCGTGCCTAAACCCGAAACCGTCGAGACGGCCACTGATGAGGCACATCCTGAACGCGCTGGAGAATCCGCTGAAAGTGGTGAGGGAAGAGAACTCGGATTCCTCGTCAAGGCTGAGGGCAAACTCGTCGAGGGGGTCGTGGAACGCGGCCATATTCGGGAGCTGGAGGCAGAGCTCGTCGGATGTGATGGCGGCTGGGGGGAAAGGGGAAGGAGGAGGGACGGCGAGCGGGAGAGGGCTGAAGAAGTCGTCGGGGTCGGAGGAGGGGAGCGGGCAGAACGAGACGACGACGTCGTCGTCGAGGAGGCGGAACTCGAACGAGATAGTTCCGGAGCCTTCTCCTTACATTGAGTGATGTATGTATAGAACATTTGGGGGAGAGTGAGGGAGGAGAGGGGGTTTTGTTTCTCGTTATGAGGCTTTAGTCCGATTCTTTCGTGTCGATAGTAACCAGAGGGAGAGGGGGAGAGATGGTTCCTTTGAGTTGGCGAGTGTTTTAGTTTTAGGTTGCTTCTTTCTATCCCCATTTTTTTTTCCCCGTGTTAGGATTTGGAACTGGAGGAGTGAGATTCTATTCCCTTCTCTCTCTCCCTTTTTTTTTTTTTGGTTGGATTTGTAAATTTTATTGCCACAAATTTCTTTGTCCTTGTCAGGTAAAGGACTCGAGTGGTTGCTCAAGCTTCACAAACTCTATACATCTTTGACCAAGAAAGGAAAAAAAAAAGGTCCCACCGAGATTTGAACTCGGGCTATTGGATTCAGAGTCCAATGTCCTAACCCCTAGACCATGGAACCTTGCTGTCCGATTACGCATTAATATTTTTCTCTCTCTTAACAATGAGAATCAATGAAAACACAGCTAAGTATGGGATTAAGAACAAAAGACAACATGGCAACATTATCTACAAAGCCATTCAAGCCTCTTCTCAACTCCCAAACAAACAAACGACATAAAAGCTTTCAGACACATTAATCAGTGGAAAGCTTCTGGGATTTACAGTGCATAATAGCGCTCTTCATTTGAGAGGCATCATGTTTCAAAGGCCGCAATTTTTACAGTGCCGATACCCTAAAGGACTGAAGTATTTACTGGAGGTTGTTGTCCGGAACGGGTCGCCCGTCTGAACCAAGTGTTGAAAGCCGTGACCAAGTGAGGGCAATCCTCGACGTTTCTCGTTGAGAAACTCAAGCATTGTTTCAGGAGCTCCTGAGAGTCTGTCATTGCAAGTGTTGAGATGATCCTTAGGAATTTCTCTTCGAGTTCCAGACACATAGATTTGTGGTTTGGGAGGATTGGTGACACGTTGTCTCTGCATACTATTAGAACCGGCAGCCAGTCTTTCACCAGCTTCATCCTCACCTGAAATGACAGATTCATGAATCTGTTCTTAGTTGCTGTCTGCACAATGACAGTCTCAGAGTATTTGAGTTTCATTGATATCCAACATGTTTCGTAAGGTAATATATTAATCTCGTTTCGAAAAGAATGCTGCAATTTATTAGCGTAAAAAGATGAAATGCGAGCAGCTGACACACAGTTGCTTATGGTTGTACGACGTTTTTTCTGTGGAAAACAATTGCAGCAACTGAAAGACTGAAACTTTCTCCTGAAGAAACCAGTAACACAATCCAAGTTCTGACATGTAAGACTCATTACGACAAATCCAAAAATTAAGCCAAGGGAACATGGATATGAAGAGCAATACAGGAATTCAAAGACAGCAGGCCTTTCTTGAAGTAACACAACCCATCATATTCTAACATGTAACACTACGAATCATTGCGACAAATCCAAAAATAAGGCCAAGCAATACAGCAGATGCTTCATCAAGTGGCTTGAACCCAATAGAAGGCGGGTCTTTGACATTGTTATCAATCATATTGCTGGACACTCCATTAATTCTAAAATCAAATCACAATGAATTAAAACGAGATGCTTAAGTAGCATGCTCAGTAAAACAACAAAACATCTAAAATCAGTAATAGAAATCACTCAGCTCAGCTAGTTGCCAGATATCAAATCCACAGAATGATAGAAACCTCTAGCAGCAATACCAATTTTTGCACATCTACAACTTCAAATCATAGGATTCCACCAACAACACCTATGGCAACACTCTATGCACATTTGCAACTAGCAAGATGGTTCCGCACACAGATCGAATTGGAATGGGAAAGAATATAGAGGAAATGGAGGAATAAGAATGGTATTACCTGTCGTGCAGCCAAAATGGACCCACTAGCAACAGCATCTGCGAGCTTGCAAGTGCAGCGGAGCACGACCGCAGGGAGCCCCGGGGCCATGTTCCTCCACGCATCGTCACGAAACGCTCGTTGCAAATCCGCCGTGAAAGCCGCCTGCTCGCTCCATTCTTTCACGGCGGTGTCCGCCACTCGCAGCTCAATCATCCTCTCCACCACCCATATCAGGTGTTTCCCGTTTACCATCGCTGTATGCAGACTCAGTCTCTGCATCGCCTCCGTCTCATTGTGATCTCCTCTGAAATCAGGACTCGAGTATTCTTCAAGGCTCTCCTTCACCACCTTCAAGCTCGTCACAAAGGCTCTCTCCAGAACCTTCCTTGCCGTCTCCTTCGACGAGAAGTCCCTCAGTAGCTTCGCCACGAATGCCTTCACAAACGCCATGTTCGGGTGGCTATGGATCGCGGCGAGGATCAGCCCGTGGAGCATCTCCTCGCAGGAGTTGTCTCTGGAGGGAGATACCCTAGCTAAGAGATCTGTAGATTCTTCCTCTCTCAGGAAAGGGACCAAACTCAAAACCCTCCTCTCCTCCTCGTCAGTCCATGGCACGGCCTCCAGGAACCGAATGCTCGATCTGACGCAGTCGTCGAACAGAAGCTCGAGCGCAACGGGGAGGATGTCGAGCGCTGTGGACGCCGAATCGATCACGTCACTGAATCCGTCGGTGTAGAGGAGCTCAAGCACAGCGAGATGCGTAGCAATCGATCCGGCGGTCACGGCGAGGTTGAGGTGTATGTAACCATCGGTCGCGGGGGTTCTCCACCGATCGGAGAGAAGAGCGGCGAAGTATTTGGCACGGCGGAGTACGTCGGAGTGCAGATAGATCCGAACATCGTCCCCTAAATCCTGCCCGTCGCCAGAATCAATCGGGGATGGAGAAGAACCGGAGCCGTCATCGTCGTCACCGCCGCGCTCGAAAGGCGAGGAGTCGTGGTAGAGGCGGAGGATGACGTCAGCGGTGGCAGAATCGTTGAAGAAGTTCGGGGACTTCATCGAGGGCGAGGAGGCGGCAGCGGCGGAGATGAAGGTGGAGGAGGATGTTCGCCGTAGATTAAGGAGATTTTCCGGCGAGCGAGGGGTGTCAATTGAGTCAACGAGAGCAGCCGAGTAGGAAGAGGAAGAAGAGAAGCGTGTGAAGGCGGATGAAAGGCGCGTGTGGCTCACGCGCGGCCGCTTCTTGGCGTTACCTGGAACCATTTCCCTTATCGGCTCAAGAAGAATGTAGAAACGGTTGAGCTTCTCTTAAGATATCCATGAAGAAGATATAACATTTTTTTTTGTTAAAAAAGATATATAACATTAATGACTTTTTTTAAAAGAATAATTTTATTAAAGATTTAACACATTTGGATTATTTATTCCAAGTACCATTAGACAGTGCCCCCCTGAGATCCTTATCTTTCTTCAAAGAATAGTTATAAAAAAAATTTAATTCTTGATAAATCTATTAATATCGATCGTAATTATAGACAATAAACAACAAATTTTATAAAATCTTTTTAAATTCAATGATTTTCCCCAACTTATAAAAATTTCTGAATTCTTACAGAATTTATAGATTTACGGGAAATTATATGTATATATATATAATCCACTTGTGGATTCATGGTCATCCATCTTGAAACCCATACCTGTACCCCCAATTTTAACAAGCAAAAAACCTATACCCCATTTTTTTCTCTAATTTTTTTAACTGACTTTTTCGTAATTTTAAATAATTATTTGAATAATTGGGTTATGTGGTTAAACCTATTCATATCAATTCAATCCAATCCAATCCAATCCAATCAATTTTTTTTTTTTAATTCGAGACAGATAAACTATCACAGCTTGATTAATTTTATATATTTCTAGTTGTTATTTAGATAATAAAATAAATTGTTAAATTTTTTATATGTAATTATGATAGGGTAAGATTTGAAGCATATGAAATATAACAAAAAAAATAAAATCCACTAGAAGGCTTTTTTTGTAAGGCGACAAGTGATAATCACATGGGGGGATTTCACATTAAAAAGCACAGTTCTAACAATAAAATTAAAATAATTAAGTTAAATTTGTTATTTTTGTCATAGTCACCAGATGATAAGATAAGGTGTTTGATTATGATGTGGTACTAATCCAATGGGCCGACCTCTGTACACTTCCTCTCATCAGCGCATCCGGAGGCGCGTGTCCTTTACGCGCCCCTCGCTGATGTCGACGAGTATGCGTTTGTTTCTTTGTTGGGCTAATTATCTATTTCGTAAGCCCAATTTAATTCAAGCCCATTATGTACGGAATGGATCCTTAGTTTTTAAAACCATATTATTTATTTTAAAATTATCAGATAAATCCAAAATACTATAAATTTAAATATTCAGAATTTAGAGAGCAGAACAAATATTTAAATGATATAGTAATATGATGTCACCACATGCGCCCTCTCTACACTTTATTCAATTTAGAATTTAATCAAGATATGTATTTAGGGGTAATTAATTTTGTTATCATTCTGAGCATATAAAATTGCAAGGATATAATTATTTTGTTGCAATCATATATTAAACATACAAAATGTTTCAAGTGATTGAGATAACAATTAATACTGACGTGGCATTTCTCCGACTTTTACGGGACTGTAATCGATACGTGGCAGCCACGTAAGCGACGGTATCTCCAACGGTAACATGTGATGTGACCATATCTCTTAAGTCTAACTCCGCTCCTCTTTCAAATTAAGAAAAAAAGAAAAATAAAATGACGAAACAATTACCAAAATGGAATTATATCATTTTAAAAATGTTTTAAAATCCAAATTAGAATATAAATCATATTCATTTGCTGGGTGTCATGGATCAATTTTACTGGGAAATTCGGACTATATGAATTCGATATTTTAATTGAATAATATTTAGATATTCTAAAATATAAAATTCAATTGCCATAGATTTCAATTTAAAGAATACATGAAAATATTAAAATCTAAAAAAAATCCTTAAATTTGGAAAAATCGAATTCGAAAAAATTAGCTCATATTTACAAAACAAATATCCCATCATTTTTTCTGGTTTTTTGATATATCACCAATTGAGAATCATGCATTTATCATCTTAACTATAATTTTTACTTTTTTAGAATTAAAAAATAATAATTCCCATAACAGATATACATATATCATATGATCATATAAGTTTTAAACAATATACTTTGAAAGGTAAGTCCCATAATTTCTATTTCATAACTTACCGAACTCTTAGCTTATGTGTGACTCATGATATGACAATTGATGTATTCTTTCGGGCACCAACCAAATATAAACGACCTTTTAATATATATATATATATATATATATGTGTGTGTGTGTATATAATGCGACGTCTAGAAGAATACTTACATGTAAAATTGAATTTTATGCATAAATATATTTCATCACTTACATATCAAAAGCTAATCACAAGATACTTGCGATGATTATAAAAAATAAAATAGATTCAATCATTGTCGATTACTTTAAAAATAGATAAGCCATTTGTATGCTTTCCTCCTCAACATTGTCATGTTATAGAACTGAATATTACTTTATAATTTTTAGTCCACAAAAAAAAAGCCAGGACAGAAAGAGAAAATTAATTAGTAAATTAGTTGTATGTATTTAATAATAATAATAATAATAATAATAATAATAATAATAATAATAATAATAATTTATAACAAACGTTGTTATTGTGTAATATTCGGTAATATGTAATTGTGGGTGCGCCATTATAGAAAACTATGAATACCAAATGCCTATATGCCTAAACTATATAATTTGATCGTTTTTTTTTATGTTTTAGTCATAGGCTCGCAATTGTAAGTGCCTCAATGTTTTATGATTAATACATATACATACATGTATGTATGTATGTATATATTTATGTATGTATGTATTTGTACGTCTCTGATTGGAGTTAACCAAATAACTCAGTGGCATTTCCGTAATATTCTCAATCTTCTCCCATCTTCTACCCGTTGCTCTCTCTCCCTCTCTCTCTCTCGAACCTTTTTCTCAAAGCTATCTTCTTTCTTTCTTCCTCGTTTTCTCCCAACGTTTCTGCTCTTTGAAGATTTCCATTCTCTCAGAAACCAAACAAATCCTCTATTTCTACTATTCGCATTCTCTCTCTTTCACCGAAATTTTCCTGAGAAAATTTCGACTCTGCTTCCACGCCGGGAACTGATGTCGGTCTCCGGTGACTCAATCTCTCACAAGTTCTCCACGAAATTCCCTTTTTTAGGGCTATCTCTTTATATTGTAATTGCGGTTTTAAGCGTTTTCGTTCTATTGATCTCCTTCCTTATCTTCCTCTGCGTCTGCTTGAATCGCATCTCACGCGCGCGTCGAATGCGCGTGAAGCACAGCTCCGGTTCGATCCCACTCGTCTCCAAGGAGATTCTCGAGATCAAGACGGTGGGTAAGATCCTCCACTCCACCGACGACGACAAGGGCAGAACCGGAAACGAAATCGTGGTCGTGAGCAAAGGAGCAAGCGGCCACGGCGAAGGCGGAGATGACGTGTCAGTTTCCGGAGGTGGTGACGTGGCGGCGCAGGTGATGGGGTGGGGACGGTGGTACAGCTTGAAGGAGCTCGAGATCGCGACTCATGGCTTCGCCGATGAGAACAGGATCGGCGAAGGAGGATACGGCGTCGTTTACAGAGGCGTCTTCCCCGACGGCTCCGTCGCCGCCGTGAAGAATCTCCTCAACAACAAGTACGTCGTCTTCACTAATATTTTCATGGATTTTAGCTTCATTTGAATGCGATCTTGTCTCCTATTATCCACACCCCGACGAACTCATTTACTTATTTTCTGTTTGTTTCTCGGGAAAGTAAAAAAAAAAAATCTTACTCCGTAGTTTCTGGGTCAAGCTCCATTGGAACTTTGATCAAACATGCTAGAGTAGTTGTCATCGGTGCTTTACAAGCCAAGAAAATGGCGAAAAAAATATTAATTTCTTGGTAATTTATATATAATCAAATCCATGTGCGTAGCCGAGTTGCAACTTTTAAACACATTTTTCTGTTCTTCCCGACAAGTTTTTATTTTTATTTTTTCTTAAAACATCTTCTCCGCATGAATTATATGCTCTTTTGACTTGATTAATGTCAATATTATATATTTATCAGTTTCAGTATTTTAATATTGCCCAGTTGAAGAAGAATGCTTTCTTTATACCGATCCGGTTTAGTTCGGTTCGATCCGATTTGGTTAAGGGGTAGGATTACAAATGCATTTATATTACAGATTGCGACTAGTAGAGTAAAACCAAAAGCAGTGTTTAGCTTTGTTCTTTATTTCCTTTAGCTTCTTTCTTCCCATCTTTGGTTTCCTTTGTCTTTTGTCACTGAAGATATTTTCTTTTTTCTTTCTCTTTCTCTCTTTGTTTACTTTCTTTGTTGGATCTTAGCATTTGATGACGGTCTTGGTAGAAACAAATAAAATGAGGTGATGAGATGTCAATAGAGCAATGCAGTTGCAGAGTTACTTTGGAATAGAATCTGATCTGCATTATGTTTTAGCCGTTTCTTCAGAATTTCATCTGCTTTGTTCTCTGACACACAAACCAGATATGTTCACAAGTGTTTGTTCTCCGTTTGCTTCTGAATTATGCACCCCGAAGTTCCATTTATGATCTTATGAGTTCATAAATATGTGTGGGTCTAATGCAGATTACAGAAATGTGGAAGTATAAAACACAGGACACAGTCTTCTGTTTAGGTTGTAAGATTGCAAAAAACAGAGCACAGGAAGCTCGTAGCTCGGGTGTTAGGTTCGTCAGGCTCAGTTTGATGCCGTGTGGAAAAAAGTTTTCGGCTTTTTTCTTTGTCTTGTTTTGGTCTAAGGAACGGATGAAACCGACATTACTTCCTGCAAACTCTGCGAACAAAAGTATCGCGTGTTAGATGGAAATCAATGTGTTGTTTTTGAAAGTGAATTCTGCGGAAAAGCTTTGATTGGAGCGGAAGTTAACGTAGTGTTTTCAAGCAGGGGTCAAGCAGAGAAGGAGTTCAAAGTCGAGGTAGAAGCTATCGGGAAAGTCAGGCACAAGAACTTGGTTGGTCTGATCGGATATTGTGCTGAGGATTCTAAAAGGTTCACAAAAGAAAAAACCAACTCAATGGTGAAACATATTCTTAGTAATCCAAAAACGATGTAATTACAGTCTTCTCTAATTGTGTTGTAGGATGCTCGTGTATGAATACGTCGATAATGGCAACTTGGAGCAGTGGCTGCACGGCGACGTAGGTCCAGTTAGCCCTCTCACTTGGGATATCCGCATGAAGATTGCTATTGGCACAGCCAAAGGGTGCGGCTTTTTGGTGTTTTCGTTTTCGTTTACGCAATTGTTTGTTCACTTGCCTCGTGAAAGTGAAACCATAAAAGATCAGAGCATGAAACTCGGTTATGGTTCCTTTGATAGGTTAGCTTATTTGCACGAAGGGCTTGAGCCAAAGGTTGTGCATCGGGATGTGAAGTCCAGTAACATCCTGCTTGACAGGAAATGGGATCCAAAAGTGTCGGATTTTGGCTTGGCAAAATTGTTGGGGTCCGAAGCAAGCTACGTGACAACTCGAGTGATGGGAACTTTCGGGTTTTTTTACTGACAACCCCCTCCCTCTCTTTCGGTTTTATGCAGTTTCGCAGATAAAAATCTGATCTTTTCTACTATTTTACCTGCAGGTATGTATCACCAGAGTATGCAAGCACAGGAATGCTCAACGAGTGGAGCGATGTTTACAGTTTCGGAGTTCTGCTAATGGAGATCATCACAGGGAGGAGCCCCATAGATTATTCCAGGCCACCTGGTGAGGTAATTCACTTCTCATCATCAACCCTTTAAAGATATGGAAGTATATCTATATATATATATATATGATACAATGTCGATCGATGCTGGGAACGTTTTCAGATGAACTTAGTAGAGTGGTTCAAAGGGATGGTAGCGAGTCGAAGAGGAGAAGAAATCATAGACCCTCTAATGGAAACCCCGCCTCCTGCTAGAGCCTTGAAACGAGCGTTGCTTGTTTGTCTTCGTTGCATAGATCTCGACGCGAGTAAGCGGCCAAAGATGGGCCAAATCGTTCACATGCTTGAAGCCGAAGATTTCCCCTTTCGTCCCGTAAGTGTCATCATCATCATCTATCATCTATCATCATCTATCATCATCATCACTCTTTTCTTGAATCTTGTTTTATGTCTTCCCACCTGATGTAGGAACACAGATCAGTGCAAGAAAGAGACGCGGAGAAAGCCAAGAAATCCAGAGACGACAGCTTTGAAAAGGCAAGAGGGAGATGAGGATATTCACAGTAATACGTTGGTGTTTCCGTACGAGTAGACGTAGAGAAAGGCGAGAGAGAAGTGATATATATATACATACATATATATGTGTGTGTTTCTGAGTTGCATTCAATGTAGGGTATGTAAATACTGAGTAACTTAGGTATGGTTTTGGTGATTGAAAAGGTATGTGAAACTATCTGCATTTTCCCCTAGGATTTAGAAGTATATACATACATGTATACATATACATGTTGTGTTCCTCGTGGGGTCCAACAAATATCAGAAGTTTGGCCCACAGGCTCAAAAGATCCGGGTTGGTTGGGTCAACTAATGGATCCGGGTCAAGTAAAGCCCAAATCGGAGACCAGGTGATGTCCCACGTGTCACCTCAGATTCTATTGATTTCCCTACCATCAAGCCCACATCTGGCTCTTTTACTCTTCTACCTGGGAAAGCTAAATCCAAAAAAAAAAATAAAAAATACACAGAACCTGCCATTGAAGACGATCTCGATCCAAATCTGGTGGAGGAAATTAAGATTCTTTAAACAAAATCGGAAATGGAGGAGGATCTGATCAAGCGGCTTGAAGCCGCGGTGACGAGACTCGAGGCGGTGTCGAGGAGTGCCGGAGGAGCTTTTCTCTCCGGCGTCGGAGAAACCGCTGCCGATGGCGCATCCTCGGATCCGGAAATTTTGGCGTACGAGGATCTTATCTCACAGTGCGTCGGTAGGGTGTTGAGCGCGGCTGAGAACATTGGAGGACAGGTGCTTGATGCGAGTAAGATCGTCGCTGAAGCTTTTAATGCTCAGAAGGAGCTTCTTGTCCGCGTCAAACAAACTCAGGTGTGTTCGTATGGAATGGATTTGGGTCCTCAAAGATGAAATTGATAATGTCGTTATCGTATTGTTGATTAGATTGCGATTTGATTTTTACGTGGATTTTTTTTTTTTGAACAGAAGCCTGATCTCGCAGGCTTGGGAGATTTCCTTAAGCCGTTGAATGAGGTAATAGTGAAAGCTAACGCCATGATAGAAGGGAAGCGGTCAGATTTCTTCAACCACTTGAAGGCTGCTGCTGATAGTCTCACGGCATTGGCATGGATTGCTTTCACGGGGAAAGACTGTGGTAAGCAGAGTCGTTATGTTGGAATTTGATTCATGGGTTATTGGAGTTTGTGATTCGAAATCGTGGGATTCAAATCGTGTCTCTTTTCCTTGTGTTTTCTGCAAGGTATGAGCATGCCTATTGCTCATATTGAAGAAAGTTGGCAGATGGCTGAGTTTTACAACAACAAGGTGCTAATGTGAACTTCGTTGTATTTTCCCCATAAGCAACTGCTAAACTATAAGGAGCTTCTGGTAGGGAATAGAAGATAAGAAGATTCTAATCACCATACCAAGTAGCTTAATCTGATCCCAATGCTTAAATTTACTGATTCCTTTGTTGGTTCTGTACCTTCTCATAGTTGTGTGACCGGTCTAGGTTTGGAATGAGACCCTTGGTTGAATCTGGTTTCTATGTTCCTACACAGGTTCTGGTGGAGTACCGTAACAAAGATGCAAATCATGTCGAATGGGCTAAATCACTAAAAGAGCTTTACTTACCTGGTTTAAGGGATTATGTGAAAGGTCATTACCCCTTGGGCCCTGTATGGAGTGCTACTGGAAAGCCTGTTACTGCTCCTGCAAAAGCTTCTCTACCTGGTGCTCCTGCTCCGCCACCTGCACCATCAGCACCTCTCTTCAGTTCTGAATCTTCTAAGCCTTCATCGTCATCGAACCAGAAACAAGGGATGACTGCTGTATTCCAGCAGATCAATTCCGCGGGTGTCACATCAGGTGAGTTCTTGCTGTATGTCCTTAGATTGCTCGTGTCCATTTAGAAGTTAATCTTCAGCTTAGCCTTATTGCCTTTCTTTGCTGTTCAGGTCTTCGAAAAGTGACTGATGATATGAAGACGAAGAACCGTGCTGACAGATCTGGTGTTGTCGGTGTTGCTGAGAAGGAAATTCGTACCAGCACACAAGCCTTTTCGAAAACTGGGCCACCAAAATTGGAGCTTCAAATGGGCCGCAAGTAGGTGTTCATGCCCGACAATGAGCCATGTGATGCTACCACGATACATGTTAATTTAATTGCTTGCTAACTCATGATTTTCCTGTAGGTGGGCTGTTGAGAACCAAATTGGTAAGAAGGACTTGGTTATCGACGAGTGTGATGCCAAACAATCTGTCTATGTATTTGGCTGCAAGGATTCTGTCTTGCAGATACAAGGTAACTTTGTCTAGTTTAGCATGCAGGATGAACGGTTAACAAAACCCTAAAATTCATATCTACCTGAAATATTTACAGCTTTTGTCCATAGATCTGTGATTGTTTTTCCTATGATGTGTAGGAAAAGTGAACAATATTACTATTGACAAATGCACAAAGATGGGGGTTGTTTTTACGGTGAGTATGGAATAGCTTTGTAGGATAAAGGAAAGGCTCCTCCTAGATCACTAGAAATGCTGATGCCGTAGTTTAATGTTGATGTATAGGATGTTGTTGCGGCATTTGAGACTGTGAATTGCAACAATGTTGAAGTTCAATGTCAGGTTTGTGTTCTCCGTGCCCTGTATGGCATACCGTTTCTACTTTCTAAGTTCAGTATATCTGGAGAGCTAATGCTGAGGCTATGATTCTTAAACCTCTGGGCGTATCCAGGGTTCGGCTCCCACGATTTCTGTGGACAACACCACCGGCTGTCAGTTGTATTTAGGAAAAGACGCGTTAGGAGCTGCCATAACAACAGCTAAATCTAGTGAGATCAATGTAATGGTGCCTGGTGCTGACCCTGATGGCGACTGGGTATGTATTTCCCCTCTCTATCCGCCGAATTTTCTTTGGTTATAAATCAATCCGAAGCCTGAGTCTTGACTGCATTTCTCGGGTTTTTCTCAGTGATGCCAAACTTCCAAGGTCATTAACAGTGCTTGAGTTTAAACTTTTGTAGGTGGAACACGCATTGCCTCAGCAATACAATCATGTGTTCGAGGAAGGAAAATTCGAGACGACCCCCGTCTCTCACTCGGGCGCATGAGCAGAACCATTTCTCTCCCGGTATGTTGATTTTTATCTACAGTTATCAACGTCTTTCGGGATTTTGTTACTCCCTTCAACCACAGAGGAAAAATCCATGATTCCCTTCTTTTTTTTTGGGTGAACTCTTTTGATACGGCTGCTTTGCAAAACTCTGGCGGCGTCCGTGTCTGATCGTTGGTTGTGTGGTTCTGTTGTTTCCGTTGGATGTGTTTTTGGTTTGTTGTTGTCTTGAGTGATATGTGTATTGAATCAAAGTGGGTTTTGTTTTGGTCTCTATGTTGAAAATTGCATTGAAGCATTTGACCATTAGTCTTTTTTCTTAGTTTTTTTTTGTGGTATTGTAGTTTAATTTGTCCTAAATGAATTTCAATTTTTTTAATCATCTGAATTGTATTGACTGCTTTATTTTGGTTGATTTAAACATTTCATTATTGTAATGAACAATTACTAATAACAAGGCTCATAACCCTTTTTTTTCGATTTGTGAATCGCTGAATAATTATAAAGCTGGATTATATCACTCATTTTTTTTTAAAAAAATGTCAGTCTTTAAGTGCATAATATATATTTTTTTGATAAGAAGTGCATAATATTTTATTAGTCGCGTGATTAAATTATTGGTTGCTTTGTTTGGTGATTTTTTTTTTCACTTTTGAGCTTTGTTTTTAGAATCAAAGCAAAATCTGCAAGTCAAAATAGCCATCTATTTTAACAATGGACTATTGGTAGGTGGAAATTTAACTCTGATAGAGCCTTCTAATGAAATGGAGTCTAAAAAAAAAACAAATTCCCGTGGTTTTCCATGTCGCTTCTACGTCAATTTTTTTTTTGGTCAAAGACTTCTACGTCAATTACTTGAACGAAATAAACAATAAAATCATATCAATTTCGAGTTTTTACAAATTCTGCACACATTGACAATATTATTAGATAATCCATTTCCATGAATCGACATAATGGTTGATTAAATTAAGCAAGTGATAAAAAAAGAAAAATGAGAGGACATGAGTCAGAGTCGCATTCATTAACTCAGGCACGTGGATTGTGGGAAAGCGAGCACATGAGCTCAGAAATCTGTGATCACTCCCTGTCTGAATTTTCCAACCGTTACAGTTCTCCATTTGTTTAATCTCGGATCCTGAAGTTAAAAAAAAAAAAAACTTCATTCTTCTTCTGGTTATCTTTTTCTTCAAACATATCAAGACCGTACCGCTTTCTCAAGCTCCTCCGGTCTCTCTCTCTCATGGCGTCTTCTTTCATCTTTCTCCCTCTCCTCCTCTTCCTTCCACTCTCGTGTAAGTCTCCTCTTGGATACAACGTCGCTTTCCTCTGTTTTCCGGTTACCTAACACTCGAGATCCTTTTTCTTTTTTTTTCCGGCAGATTCGCAGTCGTTCATCGGAGTGAACTACGGCCAAGTCGCTGACAATCTCCCTCCGCCGTCGGAGACGGCGAAGCTCCTCCAGTCGACGTCGATCCAGAAGGTTAGACTCTACGGCGCCGATCCCGCCGTCATCAAGGCACTCGCCGGAACGGGAATCGGGATCGTCATCGGCGCCGGCAACGGAGATATCCCTTCCCTTGCCGGAGATCCAAACGCCGCGACTCAGTGGATCAACTCCAACGTCTTGCCTTTTTACCCTTCCTCCAAAATCATCCTCATCACCGTCGGCAATGAGGTTCGATTCTCTGAATTCAAATCTCTGAACTCGAAAAAAAGATCGAACAAAAATCTCAAATCGGAAGCAAACCAAATGGTTGGTAGGTACTGATGTCGAACGATCAGAATCTGATAAGTCAGCTTCTCCCGGCGATGCAAAATCTCCAGAAGGCGATCGAGGGGGCGTCGCTTGGCGGGAAAATCAAGGTGTCGACGGTGCACTCGATGACGGTTCTGGGTAGCTCCGAGCCGCCATCGGCCGGTTCGTTCGCGGCCGGCTATCAGAGCTCGTTGAAGGGGATTCTGCAATTCCTGAGCCAAACCGGTTCTCCCTTCACCATCAACCCTTACCCTTTCTTCGCCTACCAGAGCGATCCACGTCCCGAGACGCTGGCGTTTTGCCTCTTCCAACCCAACTCGGGCCGAGTCGACTCGAACACCGGCATCAAGTACATGAACATGTTCGATGCCCAGGTAAATTTTACTTTATTTACTCCCAATTAATCAATAAATTAATCTGGATAACATTCTTGTGGTTGAACTGGGTTTGAATGTTTAATTAGTAAATTAGAACTCACTAACTGAATTTGGTTTTGTTCGCTTTAATTAATCAAAAGTCTTTTTCTTCCTTATAATATAAGATGGAGAATCTATCATCATATATGCTCTCTGTATATTTTAGCAAGGAACTTGGTTCTGTCCTCACTTTTCTGTAAGGGAATCTATGATTTCATGGAAACAGTGGTCTACATTAAATGTATTATATTTATTTTTTTATATAAGAAAATTCATATGAAATAAATGTAAATAACGTGACATTTGGTTATTGACTTTATCGGTCCTTGCCTTCTTGGGCCCAGAGACTGGAAACTAAACTTTTTCATTTTTTTTTTCCTGTCATGGAATTATGGGTGATGCTGACTTGCGACTGGTTGCTTGACAGGCTGGATTTACACCACTTGTATAACAAAATTTATCTAGAAAATGGAAATTATGTTATAAATTTAATAGAGAGTAAATCTAATCTTGCTTTCGAATTTAAATTTTAAACCAACCCATAAAACGCACAGAATCGCTGAAACTGTGGGTTGCAAATATGCGTGATCTTTTGCATCTATTGGTGCAGGTTGACGCCGTGCATTCGGCATTGAAATCGATGGGATTCGAGGGCGTAGAGATCGTAGTGGCGGAAACGGGTTGGCCGTCTCGCGGGGACAGTAACGAGGTCGGTCCCAGCCTCGAGAACGCCAAGGCTTACAACGGCAACCTCATCGCTCACCTTCGGTCCATGGCGGGTACGCCTCTCATGCCCGGGAAACCCGTCGACACCTACATTTTTGCTCTCTATGACGAGAACCAGAAACCGGGTCCGCCCTCCGAACGAGCTTTCGGGCTTTTCAACACCGATCTTTCTATGGTTTACGATGTCGGCCTAGCCAAGAGTAGCAGTGCGAGCAACACCAGCCAGGTTAGTAGTAGTAACAAACTTTCTATGTTTGGAAACTGTTATATGGTTTGCCCGCTACTGCATGGAGCTCCAACGCCCACGAAGGGTAGCAGTTAGGTTATATAAAACAAACTACTTTTATAGTTAAACCCTGCTATGCAATGCGATATTCAATGTGTGTGTGTGTATATGTATGCAGGCTCCGCCGTCGGGAAAAACAACGTCGGTGGGATGGTGCGTGCCCAAGAAAGACGTAACGGACGAGCAGCTGCAGGCGAGCCTGGACTGGTCGTGCGGTCACGGCATAGACTGCGGCCCGATACAGCCAGGTGGCGCTTGTTACGAACCGAACAGTGTGGCCTCGCACGCGGCCTATGCCATGAACCTCTACTTCCAGATGTCCGGTAAAAACCCATGGGACTGCGATTTCTCCCAGACCGCCGCTCTCACCTCTCAGAACCCTAGTAAGTTGAATCCGATTCAATTTTTAAATAAAATATCGAATTATTCGATTCAAAATATATGCTTATATATGTTGGTGCTGGAATGTGAAAGGTTACGATAATTGTGTATACCCCGGAGGAGGAGCGAGTGTGGGGGCCACATCTACAACGGCTATGAATAAATACGTGCACTCAGACGAAGTGGTGAATGGATCAGCTGATTGTCTGTCTTTTCCTCTCTTAATCGTCTTTATGTCCCTAATTATGGATTATTTTGCCCTTATGTGATTATGTTTTGGAAACTAATTAGTTATAGCTGGTAATTAGCTGTCTTGTTTTGTATTCATGTAATCAAGTTTCTAATAACTATAAATATCATTATTATTGCAATAATTATAATTCCATATATTATAGTATAATTTTGGATATATACCATATGAGAAAAAGAAACATTGCCAATGGCAAAAAAGTGAAAATAATAAATATATCCCTCGATAACTATATTATAATATTTGATTCATATAAATGTGCTTTGGTAAATTTAATAGCACTTCTCATCTTCCACGAAAATAATCAAAATATCATACAAAACTGAAAATGAAGAAGAAAAAAAAAGAACAAATATGATGACGTCATTTCCATGGCGTAAAGTACCTGCGGGGTCCACTTCCCTTCACATGGAACCGGTCCTCTCTCTTTCGGTCTCGGGTCAGAAGGTCATCAACAGTGAGTCGACTCGTCCAACTCTTTCTCTCTCTGACTTCATCTTCTCCTTCCTTCAGAATTCCCAAATCCTCTCGTTTCTAGGGTTTCGATCTCTCCGAAATGAGGATTCTTCTTCTCCTATAACCTCACGTTGACCCCTAAATCCATCGTCTGCGTCTTTCATCGGAGCGGGAGAGGGGACAAGTCGCGACGACGACAAATGTCAGTCTCCGAGCTCAAGGATCGCCACGCCGCCGCAACGGAGACCGTCAACAACCTCCGCGAGCGGCTCCGACAGAAGCGTCTCCAGCTGCTCGACACCGATGGTTGGCTTTCGTCTCCCCTGTCAGTTCTTTTTTCTACACGATGTTATCTCTGTGACTTTGGATTTGGGTTTTCTCATCTGTTTTGTTTTTTTGGGATTGCCTTGTTGCAGTGGCGGGTTATTCGGCTGCGCAGGGGCGGACTCCGGTGACTTTCGGACCGACGGATCTGGTTTGCTGTCGGACTCTCCAGGGTCACACGGGCAAGGCGAGTTCGTATTTGAGCTCATGTCTGTGTCTTGTGTTGATTTAGAAACTTGTTAGAAGATTTGTTTGTTTCCAAAAAAGGGAATTTCATGGATCATTGCACTATTTATTGAGCTTGAGAGCTATAGTAGTATGTATGCTTTAGACAAAACTGGGCTGCAAAAAAGATCATTTTTTCTTCAAGACTGCTTTGTTACCGAGTTTTGTAAGCTATTGTGCTGTATATGTCGGGTTCTATAGGTCAAGGAGGGTAAGTACTTGGGCAAAGCTTTCGACTTTAGTGGAATTGAGGCCGGAAAAATGTGTTCTTTGGTCGCTAGTGGTTATCATGTCCGAGAAATGGGAAGATCTGCTTAGAGTTGCTTGGTTTATTCGGATTATTTTTACTGATTCATATCACTGGTTTTTCTGTACAACTTAGATCTATTTTTACCACATTGAAAGTTATAAGAATGGGGTATGCCTTTGTACTGAATGCGAATAAATCAGCCACTGGTACGGAGGTTTAATATCCGCACATTTGCAGGTATATTCGCTAGATTGGACCCCAGAGAGGAATAGGATTGTCAGTGCATCTCAAGATGGAAGGTTAATTGTGTGGAATGCATTAACGAGTCAGAAAACTCATGCCATTAAACTTCCTTGTGCCTGGGTTATGACTTGTGCTTTCTCTTCGACTGGTCAGTCGGTTGCATGTGGTGGACTTGATAGTGTATGTTCTATATTTAATCTCAATTCAACCACAGACAAGGACGGAAATCTACCAGTTTCAAGAATGCTTAGTGGTCACAGGGGATATGTTTCATGCTGTCAGTATATCCCAAATGAAGATACTCATTTAATCACCAGTTCAGGTGATCAAACATGTGTCTTATGGGATATAACTACTGGCCTAAAAACTTCTGTTTTTGGTGGGGAATTTCAGTCTGGGCATACTGCTGATGTACTAAGGTATGGGTGTCGCTCCTAACCGTTTTGCGTCGATTTGTTTATGACATCCTCTAAAGTAGCATTTCTTTCTAAACCAATTTGTAGCCTGAAGCTTATAGAACTTACATCTCATTCAAGTCTTTGAAGCAACTGTTCATGATTGGTTTATTGATGGAATTACTTGATTTGTGTGTAGATTTATATAAGGTATATACGAATGCAGCCAACTTATGTCTTTTTTATATTTTGGTTCCGCGTTCTTCCAGTGTCTCCATCAGTGGGTCAAACCCGAGAATGTTTGTGTCTGGTTCATGTGATGCCACTGCCCGCTTGTGGGACACTCGCGTTGCAAGCCGAGCGGTCCGTACGTTTCATGGGCATGAAGGAGATGTCAGTACTGTAAAGTTCTTTCCAGATGGTAATAGATTTGGGACAGGCTCAGAAGATGGAACTTGCAGGTTGTATGACATTAGAACCGGACACCAACTACAGGTATACTGTCAGCCGCGCGGTGATGATGAGGCTCAACATGTGACATCCATCTCATTCTCGGTATCAGGAAGACTTCTGTTTGCCGGTTACACTAATGGCTCCTGCTATGTATGGGATACTCTTTTGGCAAGGGTATGTTCTTTCTGTCTGTTCATTTGTTTTTTTCCCTTCTATAAACTCTGACATGGTTGCGAAAGGCAAGCCTGTCTGCTCTGTTTATTTACAAGTATAGTCTAAAATAGGATTTGGGTGTTGTGGGATCTGGCAGGTGGTTCTGGATTTGGGGTCACTGCAGAACTCGCATGAGAGTCGGATAAGCTGTTTGGGTTTGTCAGCAGATGGAAGTGCCTTGTGTACAGGAAGTTGGGATACAAACCTAAAGGTATATATATGTATATATGAAATGGAAGTTGCTTGAAGAAAATTCCATCCTGTTAGGAAATTTCGGTCTTCTTTTAGCCGATTCATGGTTTTCCGCTGACGTTGTTGGGGTTTAAACAGATTTGGGCATTTGGAGGGCACAGAAGAGTAATATGAACACTGACAGAGAGGCGAAGTTAAAAGTTGTATCCTCAGTTCTCAAAGCCCCCCATTGTGTTGCCTATACAAGTCTCTACCTACTTCCCTTCCCTCCAAGGTTTTGTTTTGTAATGTTGTGCAAAAAAAAAAAAAAAAGGTTTTGCTTGAGATCGTTTTGACTGATACAAGGATCAATTTTTCGTCTTTTGTTGTCCCTACGTGTTTTCAAGTGTTGTTGATTTGTTTAGTCTTCACGTTTGACTGATGGCCATGTTTAATCCCCTAGGATTTTTTTTTTTTTTTTTTTGTTTCTTATTTATCCGAAATGCTTTCGTCTTTGTTCTCAACAGCAGAAACGGTAACGGAGGATTTTGCAAGCAGGATAACTGTATATTTATATACTGGTATGGTAGCAAACAAAAATTTGCAGGAACGGTAGAACCACAAAAGGCACGACAAATAACAAAATGACCAAAACAGTACATCCAAAGTGTTTATTGTTCCTCTCGATTTTAACATAACATGGTTTAGCCGCATGCGACGATCTCGTGGATGGCTTCGCTGATGGAGAGATGGTCGGCTCTGACGGACAGTTTCATCATGATCTCCTTAGTGCTGCTGTCCATCCCGAACTGAGCCCTAACCAGCACCTTCACGTTCCCTGTGTACACTCCCGACATCAAGCTTGTGTGCGACCTCTCATTGCTCCCCACCGTCTCCGTCCCCTGCCACCCGACCCCAATCGGCCGATGCTTAGTCTACGAGACTCGGATTCTATATAACACCATCATCTCTCTTCTTTTTCTCTAAATATTGGATAGAGAGCCTTACCTCACAAGGCTGCATGCCTAGTAGATCGATGACAGCCTTCACGGCTTCAGCCAAGCTCTCCCTGGGCCCGAGCCCGTACTCGTCCACGTGCTCGTTTTCCGGGTCCATATTCTCCCATGCGTTTCTGAAATTGGATACTCCGACTTTCAGAATGTAATCAGATGCTACCACCTCAACATCCTCCAGTTGATACTCGTCTTCCACTCCATCCTCCTCTACTTCCCCTGTACTTGGGTCAACCTGTTCATACCATCACCCATCGCTTGATTTTGTGCCGTGATTACTTAAAGAGAGATCGTAATCGTATCTTCAACTATGTAAAAGATGGAAAAGGAAGTCTTCCTCCTCTCCAAATCATTGTTACCTCCTTGACAATGAAAGCCAAAGTGTTCGAGAACTTTCCAACAGAAGGGACACCTGCGGGTTTCTCAAACGCCACGAAGGCCTGTCCAGGTGAATCGTAAGGGAGTGAGTTCAGCGGTTTTGATGCTACTTCCGAAAATTCCTCCGCTTCTGAAGCATCTACCACGACAGTGACCTACCATAAAAAAAAAAGGAAACATTGGAGGTATGAAGTTAGTCAAGAGGACTTTGTAAGTAGATAATAACTTAATAAGTAATAACTGATCAATTATGTTTCTGTTAAACATATGCTCGTTACCCTCTCCAACAATTGCTCCGGTATTGTATTCATGCAGTTGTACTGAAACACGACGTGACTGTCAAATATATGCTTCACAACATTGACCGCGTATTCTGTTTCCGATTCCGTGAGCTCCACAGGTGAAGAAGACTGAACGAGAGAAAAAAATACACGTCAAAACCATTGAGATGGTTAGCTATATGTAAAAGAAAAACTCAGTCCATCGAACCTTGAATAGTTTGCCAAAGCCAGCAAATTCAGGGATAGACGAGAGGAGTCTTTCGTAGGAATCGGAACCAGAAGCAGATGCAGCCAGTGGAGCTCCGAGACCAGTGGGCTTTTTACCTTGCGCTTTCTTCTCTGCAATTGGCTGGGATTTGACCTCCTTAGGCACAGAGGCGACGTCAAAAGGTTCTTCAGAAGGTTCCTGCAGAATCAAACATTTACGATAACTAATGTCCTAAAGAGCAGGTGGAGAGAAGAAATGGAGAAACAGAGAGGAACTCACATAATTTTTCAGACTAGTTTCCAGATTGACGAGAGGGACGTCCAGAGAGCCGAATAGAAACTCTTTGCTATCTTTGTCAGAATCGACTGACCCATCACCAGCAAGCATACTCAAAAAGAGTGTAGCCCTATCACGAACCTGAAGAAAAAAGTAGTGACACATAAGAGGCATCATTCAATATAAGCATGCGTTTGTGCTGAGAATACTTCTACAAATGCACAGACATAAATGCACACACATGAGCATACCTCATCATCACTGTCATAGATGCACCGCCTCAACAAAACAGTAATACGGGGCTGCAGAGCATCCATTGATAATTTTATTTCAGTCTGGCCTATATTAGGAGAGACGTACAAAAAGAAAACAGTTACTAAAGATGAGGAATAAATTAACTTTATACCTTCAAAGATTCAACCGCAAAACCAAACTTTGCAAGCGTGCTAACTGCAGCAGCTCGAACAGTTGCATTCTCTAGATGCACACGGTTATAAATATATCGTATATATTTGCTTGGATCTGAGGTAGTAGGCCCTTCAGTTCCCAAGAAATGAAGAATCTGTACCGACGAAACAGATTTAGAATCTCAGATACAAAACATAAGGAATTTTCAATTGGAATCCAAGGTTAAAGATGAAGAAAAGAATTACCTGTGTCGAAAGATAGGTGAATTCACAATCTTCAATGAACTCACAAAGATGAAGCATGCCACCTTCCTTCGCATCCGGGATATCTCTGATTATGGATACTATAGAGTCCACAATTGCCTTTTTATACTCAAATCCACCTTCTTCCCTAAGAATGTTGCTTAAAAAGTTCATCCTACAAAAAAGATGACACAGATTTCTCATAAGCCTCATGATGCAATTAGAGAAAACCAAAACGTAAGATTTCAAAGTCATCGGGAAAGAATGCCAATATTTGAGAAAACAGAGTTATCAACAACAGTAAAATTTCACTTACAGAGATCTGTACTTCAATGGAAATTTCAAACACAACGATCTTATGGCTTCCACAACTACAATTTTGAAATCATCAGCGATATCTGACATGAAATTGGTTATTTGCTTCATCAAGCGTTCCACACTTGATTCATTCCCTGTTTTCAGGAGCGTGGTGATAGCGAGTGTAGCAATACTTCTATTTTGATCCGAAATCAAACTCTCCATGTCGATGTTGCAGTTGGTGACAGCCATAGGATGAGTCATTGCCACCTGTGTAATCCAAACTAACATTCAGTACAAAGTGAGGATATCTCTTTCTCCTCAATCATGGAAAACGGTAATGACAACTAGAAAACCCCCTAATAGCCTCTCCATGTTTGTCCAGATGTGGAGAAAAGAGTCGTAAGTTCCCATTTTTAAACTTTTCTGAGAAGATGTTCAATGCAAAGGTTAAGAAAAACAATACCTTGTTCAGAGTCCGGACAGCAGCAAATCTCAATACTGGTTTAGGAGAACTCAAAAAGAGCTGGAGCACAGTGATTGCGGGGGTCAATTCTCGGGTTGTAACACCATCAAGCTCAGTAATTGCCCTGGCAGCCTCAAGGATCACCATTTCGGCTTTATGGCGCAGACAACTCTCAAGAAAATCATAGAACGGACGCTCTCCAGATTGATTGTGATTGGACATATCCCGAATAACCTAAACAATAGAAACTAAAGTTGGGTCACCAAATTACTTTCAGCTACATATCAGATGATCAAAATGATGGAGTGGCAGCCATACCTGACTAGTGTAACGTATCAAGAGCAATTGGGCCAAGGGAGTCCGAACAGATCCTCTGGTCAAACTAACAACCAATTTGCTGACAGCTAATCTATCATTCTGACGTATCTGAAATTGATAGTCACAAATTATAGGCCCATGAACAATTATAGGCGTAGACAAGAATGTTGAAAAAGTGCCCCAGAATTTTGATTCCACATAAACCGAATGGGCCCATGAACAAACAGCATAAACATGAAACAGAACACATCTGTATCTCCAATACACATGTATACGGAAAGTTCGAAGGAAGTGACCACATTCCTGATAAACTACAAAACCACCTTAACCCATAGTGCAAAGGGACCTAATTTACTCAACAGACTGTCTACTTAAACAGAAAAATCCGAAGGGCAGCCCAGTGAAACAGTAAAAATCAGAAAACATAAATTAATTTACTTCTAAAGCACTATTTACACAATAGTATCACACCTGATGGAGCAAAGCCAGGGCGTGAAACTGAACAAGGGCGGCTCTGGATTGAACAGCTTCCTGAACCTCATTGCTCCATCTTTTAACTATCTCTGGGTTTGTCTGCAAACAACATTACAAGTATTTCAGCCTGAACTAACTACTCTGAAACAACTAATACTTTTGGTGCGTAATAAAGTACCTGGAGCAGGTGAATTCCACTGACTAAAGCTGCACTGGCGACCACAGGATTCTTATCAACAATGGCTTGTTTCAAGTATCGCTCAATTTGAGTGAGAAGGGTTCCATCTGTAATCCGGCAGAGGACACGGATAGCATTTGCCCGATACATATCAATCTTGCTGTTCATGTCTTTCATAAGGGAGCTTGTAACAATGATAACCTATTGCGGAAGTAAACAACTTATCAGCAACTACATGCCAGCAATTCTGTCCATATGAAATCAAGTAAGAAGCCAGACCTCGTCTGCAGATGGAGATAACTCCTTTATGATCAAATAGACCATTCTCCTCAACCCCGTGTCTTTTGATTGAAAAAGCTTTGTCACAGAAAAGAAAACTTCTGTCGCTTCAATCTGTAGATGAGCCAAAAATAAAAATCAGGAAACCAAGTAATTTCAGTAATCAAGTGTATCCACACCACAATGTCAGTGATTTTCAGGTGAACAGCTTGATATTATATAATCGTAACAAAAACAGACCTTCGTGAAAGTCTCCCCCTGGTTAAGCAGATAAAGAAGTTTCGTGATAACCTGCAAATTTCATTGAAAAATTAAGAGACTTTATAAAATAGATAAGATCTTACAGAATGCCTGACAGTACCCAAAAAAAATAAGACAAAAAAAAAATAAGAAACGCCAACTTCAAGACAGCAAATTGCAGCAATTACCTGCGAGCATCTTCTAGGATCAAGCTGAGGGTCATTGAAGACTCTTGCTTCTTGAAGTACTGCTCCCTTTTCGATTCCCATAAATGGGGAGTACTCCACTAAACCGTGAACATCAGAAAACCAAATAAGCAAATGAAATACAATTTGAAAAAGGGAAAATAAATAAGCAACACTACAATTCGGACTGGATCTAAACTGATAGCAAAACTACACCAACCGAAACTAACAATGTCGGTAATTATCATTAGAAAACATTCAGCATCATGATTCCGAATCGGTTAAAGCAGAAATCGAACAGTGAACTCGATAATAATAACGATAGAATCCAGGTGTACCAGAAAACCTGAAATCGACCCTAATTAAAAGAAAAATCCAGCAATAGCAAATCCACGAATCTAACAAAACATCTAGAAGTGAACAGATCTAGCAGATAACAACTTATCTAGCCCTCGTAACCAGAATTTCAAAACATTAAAATCTAGAATTCAAACAAAATGATGCGAAGAAAAGAAAATTCGGTAGATTAGTAGATAGAAAACCGTGAGAGAAACGGAAATGTAGAAACATACGCTCATCGTCGTGATCATCGTCCTTCTTCACAAGCGGTTGAGCCATGGCTGATCTACGAGTTCTCCAGAGATCTTCTCGAGAAGTATTGCGTCACTCAGACTTCTGCCTCCGTATCCTTAATCTACGGATGCAACACCCAAAAATCCGATTTTTTTTTTCCCCTTCTCGCTGTAGTTTGAGACTCGAAAGCAGGGACGGGGTTACAAATGGGAAGACAGAGAGAAGCTGTGATCTGCTGTGTTCGCACCACGATTTGTTATGGAGAAACAAAGGCTGTATCCAATTATAATCTGCCACGTCATCCTCTAACCAAATCTACCAAAACCATGTTCTCATTTCAGCTTATCAGGTTACAATTGGTTTATATTAAACGGTTTATGTTTGTCCGGTTTCGTCTTCTGTAATTGTTTCCATACACTTCTTCAATATTAACAGAGAAAACATTCTCAGATTCACTGCTTCTCTCAATTCCTCTCAAACCCGAATTGCAGACAATCTTTTTTTATACATACATACATACATATATAAGTCCTATAAATCCATTGTGTTTCCATTTAGCTCAAAACTGTATACATTTTCACAATGTAAGATTTGATCATCTCTTAGATATTCACACAAAGGAATCTATTTCTTCGCCATTTTTTTACTATTCTTTCCATCCCTCTGCATATGGTGTTATTCTTTCTTGAACCCTTATTTTTTTTACAAAAAGATGGAACTTTTCAGAGGCGTTTTCTTCTATGTACGCATTTCTTCGCTACTGGAGGATGAAGGGTTGAGTCCATACTCGCTCGTGTGCCCGAATTCGCTGCTTTGGTAGTTTCCGCTTTCCAGGGCAAGTTTCCGGAATCTTCTCATGTCGGCGCTGTACGAGCTGGCGTCGTACTCGGAGCTCCCGCTGCTCGAGCTGTGATTCGTGCTTTGTCCCACTTTTCCTCCCTCTGTTATATCGTCCATCGACATATCTCCTTCTAATGCTCTTACGATCTGTTGCCATATGTGTTTTGGTCAAAAGATGGAGATTTTTTTTTTTTTTTTGATGAAACATGGAGTCTAAGTGTCCGGTTAAACCTGGCTCATCTTTGGTCGTCTCCTCGCTGAATGCCTGATGGCGGCCCCTGCACAAGCCGCCATTCTCGCCATCTCTTGCTTCTCGTAGTTTCTCTCGAGACGGGGATCTGCCAATTGCTCGTAGTCTCCATCTTGTGCCGCTTTCAGACACAGCGGTCTTGCCTGAAAATGGGGCACCACATGAAGAAAAAAACTCTTTGATCAATTTTTTTGCTTACGCCACGTGTTCATGATCTCTGCAGGTTTGAATCTATACTTCGAGGAATTTTCCGATTGATTTCTTGTATAATCTTTAACATGTTGATCGAACACCGGGATCTCGTGAAAAAACCGAGGTAACAACTCGAGAGGAGAAGGATGAAATTTACCCAATCTACTAAGCTGTCTTCCATTTGGCCCGTAAGATCCACAGGCTGTCGCCCGGTTACGAGCTCGAGAAGCATTACTCCGAACGAGAAAACATCAGATTTCTCGGTTAGCTTGCCGCTTGATGCATACTCTGGAGCCAAGTATCTGAATCAGATAAAGCATGCATTTTCATCAAATCTAAGCTGAACACAGAGATGAAGAATGGTTGTGCTAACAAATGAAAACGTGGTCGGAAGCCTTTTTACCCGAATGTTCCCATGACACGGGTGGAGACATGAGTATTATTGTCTTGAGATAGCTTAGCTAATCCGAAATCTGCCACCTGCTCGTATCACGGAACTCATCGGTAAACATGGTTCCATACAGACGATGAAGAGTATGATGAAGTACCTTAGCTTCAAAACTGAAATCAAGAAGAATGTTTGCAGCTTTGATATCTCTATGGATAATCCGAGGGTGACCTATGTCAACATAGTAAGCAACGTCAATTCCTTATGAATGTATAAGCAGCGAGCATAAGAACGAGATAGAGAGAGCATGATGATTTTCGTACAATCTTCGTGCAAGTACGCAAGGCCTTTGGCCGATCCCAACGCAATTTTCATTCGTGTAGGCCAGTCCATAACCGGTCGATCCTTTCCTGCAATCCGATCCGGAAATATTCTAGAAGATTACCGTAACATTACGTGAAATGTTATACCGTAATAGAATACAAAAAGACGAACATACCATGAAGATGGAACTCGAGAGTGTTGTTTGGCAAGAACTCATAAACAAGCAATCTCTGACCTCCAGAGCTGCAGTAACCAACGAGAGAGACGAGGTAACGATGATGGACACGACTAATGATCTCGACCTCTGCCTGGAACTCGCGTTCTCCTTGCCCGCTGCCTACTTTCAGACTCTTCACGGCCACTTCTTTTCCATTTGGAAGCACTCCTTTATGTACGTACCCGAACCCTCCTTGCCCGAGCAAATTCGAGTCCGAGAAACCCTGAGTTGCGACCGCGAGCTCGTCATAGGCGAAGGGGTTTTGGTTGAATCCGACAACCATTGAAGGGTGTGGAGGCGGCAATGGCGGATTGGATTTGTCGCTTGTATTGTCCCGTTGCAATGATGGCGTCGATGATGTCATGTTGACGACATGATCGTTTCTACTGTATTGTGCTTGAGGTGGGACATTGTTGTAATACCCACCGCCACCACCTGCACGCAAAGTGAACTTTTTTTATGAATTTTTGAAGATTTAATACAGAAAACTTGAATCTTTGACTATGGTTTTCATAGAATGCCACCTCCAAAGGGACTGTTGTTATTGTTGAAATAATGCAAATGGTCGAACTTTGATTTTCTCTTCTCCTTCTTCTTCTTCTTCTTGTAGCAGATGCAGAGAAGTAATAGCAGAAGAAGAAACAGTCCTGCTCCTGCTGCAACTCCTATAATCCCTCGGATATTCGGTGAATTATCGTCCCCACCTGACGAATCAGAGTCTCCGTTGCGAGGTGGGGCTAAAGTCCGAGACGATGAAGGGTCGTTTTCGCCGGAGTTCCTGTTTTCCGAAGGCGGTGGCTGAAAGAAAACATCTCTGTTGTTGTTGTTATTGTTTTGATCTATGTCCTTGTTGCCGCCATTTTTCGAACCCTGGGAAGGAGATTGTGGCGGGGATTGTGGCGGCGACTGGTGTGGCGGTGAATTTGACGTCGGTGGGGTTCTCGGAGATGAGCCTTCAGACGGAGGAGGCTGAGGAATTGTCGGAGTTTTCGGTGGAGGAGTGTCGTTGGACGGCGGCGGCGGAGATGATGGCGGAGGTGAATTGTCTTGGCTTGGGGCAGGAGGAGGTGGAGACGAAGAAGAAGAAGCGTTGCCATGGTTCGGCGGAGGAGCAGAGGAGGAATCCGGCGGTGGTGACGATGACCCATCTGACGTGGGCGACGGCGGAGACAACCCTTCTGACGGAGGAGCCGCGATATCGGCGGGCTTGCCCGCCCGCGCC